AAACTGTTTTATGATCAGATGTTATGCATGGTAACTGGTTCATACAGCAGCACACATTACTTTATACCCAATAAAGTGATCAGATTTAAATTGACGGTTCAGTGACTTTAATTCTTATAACAATTTGCAACATGTTTCTTTAATAAACTATTTCCTGTATCTGGTAACAAATGAAACAAGAAATTCAAATTCAAAATCCGGAGAGTCACGTAAGCCCTTCTGTTAATTTCCATTCCGTATTAGCATGAAAAACCTTAGCACTTTATCATATCTCCATGAAGGGACTCCCTATGAAAACTTGAAATACTAGGAATTGTAATGGAGTACAGAATTTTTTCTGGCTTGAAATGGATAGGTGCACACTCTCTACGTTTCTAAAATGTGCAATAATGAAAAATAATACATGCAAGAGATCAATTATAAATATACTGGAAAACAAGCTATAACTCTGTCATTTACACAGTTTAAATATATATTCTTTCAGATAGTCAGTAGAAAGGTAGACAAATACAAAGGCAACAAAGTTTTACAAAATATTAGACTTATTTATGCATGCACGTCTTTCAGATTTGGAAGTTGTTATTCAAGGGAGTTTTTTTATTTCCCTTTTTAATGGAAACAAATTACTTATCAAAACTCTATATGTTTGAGAATGGCTTCAGGATTTACTTTGATCAGTCTTTAGCATGTTTGATGAAATTAAAAACAACAAGACCAACAAAAAAGACGCCCTTCATGTTATATAAAGCAAATGAGTGGGAAGAATATTATTGCTGCCAACCCAGTGCAAGCTGTACTGATTGCAGAGAGTCACTTCAAGCCCCCTGCATTTGACAAGATATTTAAAATGCTCAATGATCTCTGCATTTTTATGAGGCGGTTTAATTAAAAGTTAATTTTTATGAGGCTGAATCTAGATTAAAATTATTTTACATCTCTTCAGTGGAAAGCTCTTGACGAGACGCAACGGTTTCAGTGACTTGGGGAAACTTGGGGGGAAAAAATACTAGCTCACAAATAGATGAAACAAGTATTTACATTTCAAAAAGTCACACTGAACTATCCTATTACCCCAAATCTGCAAAAGCAATCTTTTACTAAGTAGTTAGTTTAAATGGACTATAAGATACAGTTTCTCACAAGGTAGCCTCATTATGATACTACAAGAATAGTCAGTCAAACTAATGTTGATTTTCATATTTCACCAGTTTCAGAGGTTAATGGCTTAAGATCAGTCATTGAATGATGGACAACTATCAGTGTGCCAAGTATTAATCTCATTAAATGACTTATCTATAGGTATTTATAAGTTCTTCCAACAAAACAGCTTTCTGAGGAGACAGTAAAAGCTTTTAAACAGGCTTGATATACTTATTTCTAAGCCACACACGCAAAATCACAACGAGATATAGTATATATGAGTGTAGAGTTATCAAATACCAGGTTTTCATTTTTAAAAATTGCATTTATACTTTCACTTTTACAATTAAATACTGCCACAGAACAGTTTATCTGCTAATAATATTTTTTTGGCTGAAATCAGAAGTTTTTATTTAGGTAAAATACTAAGTTCAAATTACAACAATGCTTAAAACACTGTAGAAGGTGAAATGAGTGAAATACACTAGAAGATTGATTCTCAAATGATATTTATTAAAATGTAGTAACATTTAAGATGACATAATGTCAGATGTGCAAAAATTTTAAAGTTACGACATCAAGTGACTGATGAAAAAAAGGTGAACATTTGAGTCCAATCAGAATTTCATTAAGTCAGTGGTACTCAGTCTCTCTCTTTAGGAATTTGTATGTGATTCATATAGATCCTATAGGTTTGATCACCAGAACAGCTCCCCATGCTTTTTGGCACATACAAGAGCACTCAAGCAGCCAGGAAGTGGGAAGAGAGAGAAAATGTTGGCGAGGAATCACAAACAGCCACCAAATTGTGGAGTGACCTCTGGACGTGCTAAATGACAATGTCACAGCTCAGTCATTACAGGCAGTGTCTTCACAGTTATATTGTGGCCCAGAAACCAAGCAATGAAGAAATGGCTCTCCAGCTCTTCAAGATGAGGTATCACTTCATTAACCTCTTTGGACTGGTTTTATGTTTATACTGGGGATTTAAGACGTAAATAAATAGAAGATGGAAATATAGTTTTGGAGTTGGTCTACGATTTACTAGAGTGGTTACTACAACTGTTAATTTAAGAAGGCTTAAAAACTTATTCATTTGTATAGTTTGTATGTTAATTTTGGTGGCTGCATGCTCTAGTGCCCAGAAGTAATTAAGGTGGCTGTTCAAATGAGAATACTTGCTAATAATCACTTCACCTACATCCACTGCAATAAGTCTGACAAATACTGTCCAAATTGCTAGCAGGAAGCTCATCTGAAAGAGGATTAAAATATATATATATATATATATATACACACATACATACATACATACATACACACACACACCCACACACCACAATAGCTTCCTCCTATTTCTTGAGCATCATTCACCCTAGGGCAGAAATGAAGGCTGTCAGTATTATACCTTGGATCAACTTTTGAGGGATAGAAGAAAGGAAAATACTCTTGATGAAGCCTGTACCCCATTCCCATAACTCTGGCAAGCTGGTGGGGAGGGGGAGACTGTTTTGAGCACCCGTCCTAGACTATGATTGCCAATGACATCAGGACCCTGGAGCACCGCAAGTCCCACTACACAGCAGCACATGGCAGGTGCCTGCTGTTGCAGAGGATAGCGACCTGAAATAACACAGAATAAAGAGCTCTGAGCAGTCCTCAGACATTCTGAGCCCTTGTTCTTGAGGAAGGGGAGACACGGGATGGAGTCAGAAGGAAGAAAAGTGAAGGAGGGGTGGCAGGGAGAGACAAGGGTATTAAAAAATACAGAGAAGAGGGCCCCTGCTTCTATGCTTTTCACCTGTAAATCCTATCTACTTGCCAAGCTCCTAGCCTAAACTGCACTAGAATACCTATGTCCCAGAGGTGGTCAACACAGGTGCTAAAGTCCCAGAGGCCACAGACTGCCTTTACTACAAGAAAAAGTTCAACTACCGAAGAGACAGGCCAACAGTATACATATTGTTTACTTCTTCACAAGTGTCTCTCAATAGCAAACTGCTATTTTCTAATCTCCAGGCTAAACTGGAAAACTCTGTAGAAACTAATTAGGAACCAAGAAAAGCTTTTTTGATTACACACCTAAACTAACTTAATCAGAGATATGCATGTGGCATAGGGTATGCCCTAGTCTCTCTGAAGATGGAAGCATCTACTAAGGGAAGACTGAATAATGCAAAAGAAAGCAAGAGAGCACAGGGAGCTGAACAATATCTGAATACTGCAGCAGAAGTTACAGAACAAAAATTATATATACAGCCGGAAAGCAACAATGTCTACACTTATTAGTATGTGCCAGTTGTATTTCAGTAAAAAACAAATTGTGCAGCTTTCTAGAGACGTTATTTGCTTTGCTTTTCAAATGAAACTGCTCATGTAGCTTTAAGCTTTCCGTTTAATCCATGGCTCTTTCCATTTGTAATTTAGCTTTAAAAATTGATATGTCTTTTTAAAAAAAGCTATAATGTTATTTTAGACTGTTAAAAGGGAAGCAGCAAAGCTAAAATAGAATTACAATGATAATACTGGAACAAAAAAGTTGGTGTAAAAGTAATTGGTAGATGAAAGCGTGGCTTTCAATAGCTTTTCAAACACAAATTATTAATTTTAATCCTTCTGTAAAGAGTTGCATAAGGCGCATTAGATACTCTTTTCATTTAACCCCAAAAAATGAAAGGTGAAAAGCTAGTGGAAGCTCCAACCAACTCAGCCCAGACCTACTTACAGGAGTACAAGAGTAGGGATGTCCAAGATAACTGTGGGGGGGAATCCTGGCCCCTTGGAAGAGAATGGCAAAACTCCCACTGATGTTTGTGGTGTCATGATTTCATGCTATGAGAATCTCTTCATTATTTAAGGTGGGAATTTTTGTTACTATAATTTAGAAAATACAAATCTGAAAGTATCTTAATAGGTATCATCTCAAGGTTCTAGCAGGCATATATCATTGAAAGAAATAGCAAAGATTCTGGTCTGAAGAACAAGAAATGCTCCAGTTTTAGGATATGTACCCATACAGATTACAACACATGCACAGTGTATACAAAATACAGGAGTATCACACCAAGTAGTACAAACAGCTATGCTATCTTATTGAATGTTGTGACTGACCTGCTTCAGTTATTCTTAAAATAGAGGTCTCTCTTTCCTAATGCAAAAACAGTTCTGTGAAATGGATATTCCCTGACTAAATGAAAGTCATCTACATGGCCAATTTTTACTCAGAAGGGTCTTTATAACCTGCCTTGCAACAAAAAGAATTCAAGAGTTTGTTAAACACTGTGTTAGTTTTAGGGACAATTTTAACACAGTGTGTGTACATACATACATACATACGTACACACACACAAACTGCATTTATAAATAGAGCAAGTCTGCACAGAGTTGCCTATGGCTCTAATTTTTGCTCTCAGAGAACCAATTATTTTGTTGACATTTTCCCTAAAGAATGATGTAAAGAAATCTCTCCAGCTGGAATTTCTCTTATGTCCTAGTGTAAGCATGGTGGCAACACTATTCAGTGTTAGGAAAGAGAGTTTATATTCTGCCCTATGAAATGAGTGAGGACACTATCAAAAAGAAACTGATTGTCTACTCTCTCAGGTCTGCAAGTACAGAGAAGAAAGTTAGATACAGATGAGTACAATACATGTATATGATGGGGGAAAAGAAAAAGTCACAAATCAAAAACAGTCTCAATCTACACCAGTGTTGAATTTAGTTTGGAACTGAAAGCAAGCTTAACTAAGAAGGGTTTCAACCTGGCTTGCATCATTAAGTTCACAAGCATGCCCTCAGATCCAACCTACAATGTGAATCAGCATTATTATACTGCTTCATTCTAACAAACATTACAGCAAATGTTTGACTATTTGAATTGTAAAATACAGCTAATTTACATAGATATCTTAACCATCCAAAATGTACAAATCTGAATTCAAACCTATCATTTTGCTTGCAACAAACCCTGTTTGCTAGAGTATAAAGGCTCAGATTTAAACAAAAGTAATCATTTAAAAACACAACTAATGTACTGTGAAAGAGCTTTACATCCCATTCTTCATGCTCTGCTTGGAGACATTCATACTTCTAGTAAAACCAAAGGGTAACCATTGCATTTTTATCTGTAAACAAACACACCACATTTTGGTCCTCCATGACTAAGAAGTCTCCATACCTCATTTTGGAGCAGTCTTTGTACAGCTGAGAGAAACTGATACAACTGAAATACTCAACAGCAGAGTGCAAAGCCTGTATTCAGACTCTACTTTTAGTCCCCGAGGCCTTGTGTTGACTGGGTAAAAGTGGAAAGCCACGAAGACATGGCTGATTTTGCATTTGTGAAGGCCCCTCCTACTGACTGACCTGCATTATAAACAAACAAAAAGGAGAAAAAAGTTACTCAGAAGGTGTAATATGATTTTTCTAGACAGTATATACCCCATAACATATTCTTTGCGTATTAAAGACACCACAGAATGATTACAAAACAGAGAGGTTTAATTTGCAACTTAAAATGTAAACACCCAGATACACTCAAAGAATTTAAAGGTGGCATCTTAGAAGAAATAGTTTGTGCCAAACAGCAATAATTATACTCTTTAAGTGGCCTCTTCAGGTCCAAGCTCATCTCAGAGCAGTAGCAGCTGAGGATTCAAAAGAGAAAGAAGGAGCAGACAGATCACTTTCATTCTGAATAATCTGGTCAAGAATTTTGGCAAAGCCACAAGAGAACAAGCACTTATGAAGCTCCTTAACTGGTGGCCTTGTGTTTTCTCTCACCATTTGATGAGGTCATGCTGGACAATCAAAACAGTATAGGCTTGATCTAAAGTCCACTGAAGTCAATGGGAGCCTTTCTATTGACTTCAATGGTCTTTAGATCAGGCACTGTCAGAGAAACACAAAATGAGAATAATTTGTTAGTGCTGGAGCGTATGGCTTAGTACTTTAAGCACTTACTAAGGATGAACAATCTTTCGTCTGAAACCTTAAAAAAACAGATATTTACTCTGGGCAAAGCCTGGCTTTTAAACAGAAGTTTACTGCGGTGTCCTTATCTAAAATAGCCCCTCGTCCTATTGTGGTGTAGTGTGATGTGTCCCAATTATCAACCTGTCTGCCAGCCTTCCCGCCTCCCCCTGGGCCAGAGGTTGGTGCATTTCTGCACCAGAAGATATATCTGTAAAGCACATTAGGATAAAATGCACTACAGAAATGTAATACACTATTATTAAATAACCATGGCATGTCATGCTTGTAGTAGCTAGCTGCACACTCTTTCAACCTGGTTACAGACAAACCGATTTCTTACCTACAGCTTTTCCTGTTTGCACAACATTCCGGCTGGTATTGACCATAGCAGTTCCAATTTTCTTGCCACGTTCACTGTTCTGGACAGAGCTAAGCAAGAGAAATGTTGAAAGAGCATTAGTCAACTGACTACCTACCTACTCAAGGGACAACATTTAGTCTAAAATAGCAATTAAGTATAATCAAGCTCATAAGATTCAGATCCATCTCCTCATTCCACCACAGATCAGTTACACACATAAATATGTGTGTCAGGCATGAAGGAGGAAGGGGAGAATAGATTCATCATTATGGAACACTCTGTGCTCTTTGGTGTAAGACCCGAAGACATTTGTGGGAAGTGTTTCTGTTGTAGATTATAAGACAAAATGTTACAGCATCTACATTTAGGTACCTTTGGAAATTTTACCCTTAGTCTATAAGCTTTGTTAAAAAGCATGTGGCTGGTGGGCTGATTCTGAATGTTTGTCATTGCTTTGTCCATTCAGAAGAACTGTTAATTTTACTTTATGCTATCCATAAGAATCAACTTTTTGAACAAGTATGCCTTTCATCTCATGCTTTTTCAAACAAATAAGGGAGAATTATGTTACTATCACTGGGGAAAAAAGCATAAAGCAATTAGTTTCTATTCATTTTAAATGGCAGCAGTTGTAAAATCTTATTTGGTTTTATAATATAATATTCAAATAAAAATGTCAGTTTCCTCATCCACTCCATATATATGGACATATATCAAAACCTTAAAAAATACTGCTATAGTAAAGCAAGCTGCATTCTATTCCACTTTAAGCATTTCCAGGCAAATTGTCAAATAACGTTAATCTTTATTGTTGATGTATAAAGGATAAAGAGCAGATTCTTTTCAGGTATCAGTTTGGGCTGGATTTGCAAAGTTTAATTTTGATAAGGTGAACATTTTTCACAGCACTGTCACTTATGGAGAATAAATATGTTGCAAGAATATTTCTTTCATTAGAATCATACTTTAAGGACTAGTGATCCCCTTAAATTCAGTTTAGAGTTTCACAAAGTGTTAATGTCTCCCCTCTCAAAAAAAGGTGTAGGTGATAAAACAGTATCAAATGAAATGGGGACACCAATGGCTTTGGGGATTAGAAATGAGTTACAAGACGACTTATCGCCAGATTACAGGCTAAAACACGGTCTAAGTTTAAATTGATAGCAACTGCTATTATCATGGTAAGGTAGTCTTTGTGAAATGGGTTTCTGATCCCAGTTTTCATCATGGAAACCTAGCCACTGTTACGATGAGGACAGGCAACAAGGACCAAACCTTTTCTCTCTAGAGCTGTCCCTTGAAGTCAGGTTTTATTTCTACACTCAAAAATTGACTGTAAAAATGATACCTTTGTACCTCCATAGATCTTCTCCCTCTTCTTAGAAAGTCACATCTGCTAACTTTATTGACAAGAGTGACAGCTAGCGAACAGGAGCAGCAAACAGGGGAGTTTTACAAGAGAATTCTCCAGGTGAAGGATGAGAGACTACATGACCCTTGAGTGAGTTTGTTGTCTGTTTGTTTGTTGTGTGCTTGCTTGCCATACACTTGCTGAGCCAAGGGCTTACTAATGAGGCTCCAGCCTATCTTAAGATTCCTAACCCAGTTAGGATCCCTTAACAAGGGGGGAAGAGGGGAGACGCTAACTCAGGGAGAACAGAGGTTTAAAAAGCCAGCTCCTAAGCAACCAGAAGACCTAGCAAACGGGAGTTTTGCAAGGGAGTTTAGAGACTGAGTATGAGAGGCAGATACACCTAATGAACACTCTAAACATAGGCCAATGAGGATACCCCTCCTGGGGAGGGAACCCCAGTTACTAGGAAGAGTCAGTAATGGTAATGGGGGATTCAATTATTAAAAATATAGCTAGCTGGGTTTATGATGACCAGGAGACCCACATGGTAAATTGCCAAGTGCAAAAAAGGTTGCATGTCTCATGAGACATTTAGATAGCCTTCTGTGCAGCGCTGGGGAGGAGCCAGTGGTTGTGGTATATGTAGGTATCAAAGACACCAGGAATGGTAGGAGAGAGGTCCCGGAGGACAAATTTAGGCTGCTAGGTAAGAGATTAAAGCCCAGGACCTCCAGGGTAACTCTCTGAAACACTTCCAGTTGCACGCACAGGGCCGGAAAAACAGCAAAACTGCAGGGTCTCAATGCATGGATGAGACAATGGTATAGGGAGGAGGGTTTAGGATTATTACAGGAAGGATGGGCTCCACCTAAACCAAAATGGAACCAGATTGCTGGCATGTAAAATTAAAAAGGTCGTAGAGGAGTTTTTTAAACTAAGGGCTGGGGGAAAGCAACAGGTGCTGAGGAGCACACAGTTTGGGTAGAGACATCCCTTAGGGACAAATTTACTGAAGGGGGAACTCTATATCCTAGTAAAGGGGATAGGAAAGAAGTTGGTAAAGTACAGGTAGGAGCTAGTGAGGAACAGTCAAACATAAAAAAGTCTCATTTATATATAAAACACATAAAGGCAAGCAACTGAATATTGACAAAATGAACAAATGCTTGGATACAAATCCTAGAAATCTCAATACTAAAGTGGGTGAACGAGCGTGCCTGTCATTAAATGAAGATATTGATATAATACACATCATGGAAACTTGGTGGAATGAGGATAATCAGTGAGATGTGTTAATACCAAGGTACAAAATATATATGAATGAGAGAGTTAGTCACAGTGGTAGGAGAATGGCATTCTATATGAAAGAAAGCATAGAGTCAAATAAAGTAAAAATCTTAAATGAATCAGACTTTACGATAGAATCTCTATGGATAGAAATTCCATGCTTGAACAATAAGAGTATAGCAGTAGGAATATGCTACCCACCACTTGACCAGGATGGTGACAGTGACTGTGAAATGCTCAGGGAGATTAGAGAGGATACAAAGGTAGAAACCCCAGTATTAATGGGGGATTTCAATTATGACTGGTTATGTGTCTCCTCGAGAAGAGATGCAGAAATAAAATTTCTAGACACATTAAATGGCTGCTTCTTAGAGCAGCTTGTCCTGGAACCCACAAAGGGAGAAGCAATTCCTAATATCGTCCTAAGTGGAGCACAGGATCTGCTCCAAAAGGCGAACATAGCAGAACCACTTAGTAATAATGACCATAATATAATTAAATTTAAAATTGAACTACACAAAAACGGAAAAAAACAAAAAAAAACCTAAAAAGCCCCAGTTAAACAAAAATTAAAAAGAACAGTCACAAGGGTGGAATGCCTGCAAACTGCATGAAGACTATTTTAATACACCATGATGGAGGCTCAAACTAAATGTATACACCAAATAATAGTAATAAAAAAGAGTAAGAGGATCCAAAGAATGCCAATATGGCTAAACAGCAGAGTAAAAGAAATGGTTAGAAGGCAGCCTTTAAAAATAGAAAGTCAAATCCTATTGAGGAATACAGAAAGAAGCATAAACTCTGGCAAGTCAAGTGTAAAGCATAAGAAGGCAGACCAAGAAAGAATTTGAAAAGGAAGAAGCTAAGGACACAAAATCTAACAGCAAAAAAACCCCAAAACAACCCACTAGGTACATCAGAAGCAGTAGTCAGTGGGGCAACTGGATGACCGAGGTGCTAAAGGAGCACGCAAGGAGGATAAGGTCGTTGCAAAGAATTCATTTAGCTTCTCCACATCAGTCTTCATTGCAGAGGACATGGGGGAGATTCCCATACCTAAGCCATTCTTTTTAGGTGACAAATCTGAGGAACTGTCCCAGACTGAGGTATCACTACAGAAGGTTGTGAAACAAACTGATAAACAGTAATAAGTCACCATGACCGGATGGTATGCTCCCAAGAGTTCTGAAGGCACTCAGATATGAAACTGCAGAACTACTAACAGTGTTATGTAACCCATCGCCTAAGTCAGCCTCTGTACCAGGTGACTGGAGGAGAACTAATGTAATGTCTATTTTTTAAAAAGGCTCCAGAGATAATCCTGGCAATTATAGGTTGGTAAGCCTAACTGCAGTACCAAGCAAACTGGTTGGAACTATAATAAAGAACAAAATCATCAGACATATAGATAAACATATTATTTTGGGGAAGAGTCAACAGTGCTTTTGTAAAGGGAAATCATCCCTCACCAATCTATTAGAATTCTTTGAGAAATCAACAAGCATGTGGACAAGGGTGATACAGTCAATATAATATACTTGGGCTTTCAGCGTATGTTTACATCGCAATGTAAGCCCAAGGTTAGTAGAACTTGAGTTAGCAGATCCTGGGTTTGTTAACTTAGGGCTTGAGCATCTATGCTCATTTGTAACCCCAAGTTATGAATTTTTGAACTCTGGGTTCCAACCTGGGGCTCCAGCATCTACACGGTATTATGTGGGTCCAAGTCCAGCCACCCATATCCCAGACTTCTTTGCATCAAAATGTAGCCGCTCTAGCTCTTTGTTTGTGGTGCAGAGTGGAAAAACTTGACTGTCCAGAGGACAAAGGACATTGGCCTGTGGGATACTCTTGGCGAACTCTCAGAGCACGAGTCCAGTGGGACTGCATCTATACTGCAAAGCAATAGGGCTTGAACCCGTGGTACAAGGTTGATTCAGGCTCGGACCCCTCAAGGGTCCTGGGTCCAGTATGTGTGTAGACGGAAGGGGGGTTAGGTTTGAGCCTGAGTTGGAACCCTGGGTTTATGTTACAGTGTAGACATAGCCTTTGACAAGGTCCCCCACAAAAGGTTCTTAAGCAACCTAAGCAGTCAGGGATAAGAGGGAAGGTCCTCTCCTGGAGAGTAACTGATTAAAAGATGGGAAACAAAGGGTAGGAATAAATGGTCAGGTTTTCACAATGGAGCAAGATAAATAGCAGGGTTCCCCCAAGGATTTGTACTGGGATGTGTGACGTTAAGCATATTCATAAATGATCTAGAAAAGGGGGTGAACAGTGAGGTCCAAAACCGAGAATAAAAAGTTACAAAGGGATCTCACTAAACTATATGACTGGGTGAAAAAATGGCAGATTACATTCAAACTTGATTTGTGCAAAGTAATACATGCTAAAAAAAAAAAAAAATCCCAACTATACATACAAAATGATGGGTCTAAATTAGCTGTTACCACTCAAGAAAGAGATCTTGGAGTCATCATGGATAGTTCCCTGAAAACATCCAACTCAACGTGCAGCAGCAGTCAAAAAGAGCTAACAATGTTAGGAACCATTAAGAAAGGGATAGATAAGAAGACAGAAATATCATAATGCCACTATATAAATCCATCGTATACCCACACTTTGAATACTATGTTCAGTACTGGTCGCCCCATCTCAAAAAAGATATATTAGAATTGGAACAGGGAAGGGCAACAAAATGATTAGGGTTATGGAACAGCTTCCATATGAGGAGAAATTAAAAAGACTGGGACTGTTCATTTTAGCAAACAGATTATGAAGGGGGGGGATATAGGGTGACCAGAGGGCACGTGTGAAAAATCGGGAGAGGGGGTGAGGGGGTAATAGGTGTCTATATAAGAAAAAGCCCCCAAAATCGGGACTGTCCCTATAAAATCGGGATATCTGGTCACCCTAGGGGGATATGATAGAAGTCTACAAAACCATGAATGGTATGGAGAAAGTGAATAGGGAACGGCAAACCGCAGACACTGGGAGCTGAGGGGCTCCATGCCTGTGAACGCTCCAGGTAAACAAAACGTCCAGCGGCTTACCCTAACAGGCCAGGAGCCAAAGTTTGCCAACCCCTGAAATATAGGGATGGCTTAGGAAAGGGTCATACAGTTTTTGCTATTTTTACCTAACCATCTTGGGGGGGTCGGCTTATAAACGAACGGGCTAATGAACGAGTATATACGGTACTTCTTCAGACAAATCATGGTCAACCTGTGGAATTGTTGCCATGAGATGTTGTGAAGGCTGGGTCCTAGTGGTGTAAGTTGGAACTGGACAACAGGGATGGATCACTCAAAATTGCCCTGTTCTGTCCATTCCCCCTGAAGCATCTGGCACTGGCCACTGTCAGAGACAGGATACTGGGCTAGATGGACCATCAGTCTGACCCAGTATGGCCGTTCTTATGTTTAAAAGTAAGTTTTATTACTTTATACACATACAGTAGAACCTCAAAGTTATGAACACTTTGGGAATGGAAGTTATTCATAACACTCCCTTTATTTTTTTTAATAGTTTACATTTAATACAGCACTGTATTTGCCTTTTTTGTTTTTGTTTTTTGGTCTCTGCTGCTGCCTAATTGCATAATTCTGGTTCCAAATGAGGTGTGTGATTGATCAGTCAGTTTGTAACACTGGTGTTTGTAATTCTGAGATTCTACTGTATAAGCACTCAAGGACCAACAGAGCTAAGAGAGATTTATCTATTGATGCTCATGCATCAGAATTGATAGTTAACTTGCAACTGCAAGACTGAATTTATACCTATTAAACTCTACTGAAGATAATAGGGTTGCACAGGTGTAACTGAGGGCAGAATTAGGCTTGATGGATCTTTACTGTTGATGGATGCAAGAACAGGAATGAACCCAGCTTGAGTCTAGAATCCAGGCTGAGTTTTCAAAGCTGAAGGTTATGGAAAAATATATTTCTATTATTAAATTGAAAAAAATTGAATCAGGGACACAAATATTGAACCCCAAAGCATCAATTTTATCATTATTTTCAGTAGCATCAAATTGGATTTAAAGGGCCAGATCCTCTGCTGACTTAAAAATCAGTGGAACTAAGCAGAGGATTTGGCCCAGAGTTTAAAAAAAGAAAAAAATATACCAGAAAATAAAAATCATTGTACTTGAAATGTTTTAAAAGTTTTAGATTAAAATATTAACAAGTGAACATTAATAAGTGGGTTAGCAAGAGGAGATATTGCACTATGGAAAATGCAGCTCTAACAATATTTATATCCATCAATTTATTATTATTTGTGTTGCCCCAATAAAAGGATCAAGGACCTACTGTGCTAGGCACTGTACACACATGAAAAGACAGTCATGCACTGGCAATATTTTTCACTATCTCAGGCACATTTCCCATCCTTAGATGTTGCTAGTTTAGAAAGAGTGCAGCATACAATTTCATGAAGAGGGTCAGTTCCCATATCTTTAAAAGAATCTTGATTTATCTACATATTCTCAATTTAGCAACAGACAATAAAATATCAAAGTATTATATACTTACTGTGATAATCTTAACTTTACATCTGATACAGAGTATTGGCCCTGGAATGGGTGGCTGGAAGGGGAAAAAATACAGTGTTTTAATTTTGTCATTTTTTCCATAATGAAAAAACAGCATGGTTTTATTTGCTGGTTGTCCTCCACTGCAACAAAGAAAATATCTAGTTATACATGTCCCAGTTGTGGTTCAGTTGTAGGATTTTGACGAATCACTTGCAATCTGCCATCCATTTACAAACTAGACATGTTTCATCTTCTTTTCAAATCTCATAAAACCTGACAGCTGAGACACTCCTCCTGCTGACAAGATGAGGCATAATGAGAGAAGTGATGTCTCAGGTAGCCACGTACGGCTTCATAGATTAAAAAAAAAAATGCCATAAACTGAACTCAAACAGCAGCCAGTGCAACATATGGAGTACAAGTTTAACTAGCTCTATGCAGCATGCTGTCGTATTCTGTACTACCCGAAGCTGCTGAGTTGTCTTCAAACGAAACCTAAAATACAGCACATTTGCACAGTCCAATTTTAAAGTAAAAAAGGCATAAAAACTATGGCAAAGTCTACATTTAAAAAGGAAAGAATGCAACCTCTGAACCAACAACACTGCTGTCAAATGATGATCCTGGCCACTACTGCTCCCTGGAAATATAGACGCAATCAAAAATCCACAGGAACCAGCAGACTGTAAACCTCTAAGGAAAGGTGGATGAAGCCTCTGCAGCCAACTCTCTCAAAGTTATTCAGAGACTTCCTTACCAGCTTCACTTCTGCCTTTAGGCAGAGCTTTAGCAAGCTTCTTCTCATCTATGCCCCACAATCTCAGTCAGGTACTAGTAATGAGAGAGACTGCACCACCCTGGTCTGAAGAAAAGGAGATACCTCCAGAACTTTTACAGCAGTTCAGTCCTGAATATCTCAAAGTTTCCCAGAGTTGCCTCATATATGCTGTAGGGAGGAGCAATGAAAGAGAACCTTGTAACATCCCACACAAAAGCTCTCTGATTCCATATAAGAACAGCACAATAAAATCTTTATTTCTCCCTCTTATTTCTGAACTTGGTTTCTTACCTAGAATTTACTTCTGCAAGAGCAGGATGCTTGTTGCTGTTCCACACTCTGTAGTTGTGTGTATTTTTCCAAGTTGCTACAAAGGCTGTTCCGAAGTCTGACAATATCTTTTCATTGTCTGATGAATAAAAGACAGAAGGTGAGTGGACCTGTAGCAATGCACTGAGGATGTAAAAGAAGAAATGAAAAGGAGGTTTTGGAAGAAAAACCGAAATGTCCTCGATTCTTGTCAGTCAGAGAACATGGGGTTCCAGTTTCATAAACATTAGCAAAGCAACAAGCTCATTATTTTGGGTTTAAAAAAATGCCACTGCCCAACACAAAGAGTTAAGGAAAGGAAAATGGAGTTCAGACAACCAAGAAATTCATTTAAAGGAACACTGACAACTTAGTTTAGATACAACTTAGTGTTTTTTTTTTTTTTAATACATCACTGAATAAAACTGTATTTTGCTTTTTTGATATCAAGCTGTTAAACTCCCCATGTAATGAACCCAGACTGCACTGTGCCACCATACGAGAATCTGAAAGTGAAGGTAAGTGGCCTAGCTCTGTTGCAAGGCATTATCCAACAGCAGGGAACAAGTCATAGAACATGACATCACCTGCACTGATCTTGCCCTAACAGCAGAACCCTGCTTTACTGTACTACATTAAACTGCAAATTCAATTTGAGGGTGAAGCTGAGAGTTACTAAAGTGTGAATTAATGAACAACCATCGCACACTTCAGGTGTATTACGTTAATGTCCCTTTAACAATATATTTACACATACAGAAAATCTATCTAGAATATTCAGAAGGGAAAAGTAAAATCTATCATGGGGTTCATGAAAAGCATGTTATGCCACAAACGGTTAGTCATCTTAAATAAAAGTACAAAGCTGGCAGATACAGAGAACACAGAGGACTTAATATAACTATGTTTGAAGTTGATACAGTATTTGCTCATGAATATCAGAGTGGACACAGAATTGGCTGACAGGCAGTCGACTGAGAATAATTATGAAGGGGAGCTCAATTAAAAGGGTTAATACTGGGCAAACAGAACTTTTCCTAAAAGATTTAGAGAGTTAGCTGTTTAAATTCTGCATAAACAATTGGGAATAGCTAAAGTCCACAAAGAGACCCTAAATTAGTAGGATGTCTGCATGTATAAATTTCAAGTACACCTCTACCCCGATATAATACAAATTCGGATATAACCCGGTAAAGCAGCGCTCCGGGGGAGTGGGGCTGCGCACTCTGGCGGATCAAAGCAAGTTCGATATAATGCGGTTTCACCTATAACGCGGTAAGATTTTTTGGCTCCCGAGGATAGCGTTATATCGGGGTAGAGGTGTACTTCTATTTATGAGGAGCGGGTAATGGAAATTAACACAAATACCCAAGAGAAGATAACAAAGGGGGAATATAATAATCTCTAAATCATTGAGAGTTAACAACACAGAATAAAGCAAGAAATTAATGAAGATGGTCAAGGGATTAAAAAAAAAAAGAAAATTTTCAACTGAGATAAAGGATGAGTATGAGCCAAGCTGAAAATGCAATGGAGCAATTGTTTACTATGCATTCAGCCTCTGCCCATTCTCACCTCAGCCCCTAAAGAGGTTACCAGAATTTACCTGGCTGCAGCACAGCAGCAAGCAATGCATGAAGATAGGCACCAAACTGAGCCCTGATCCACTCGTCTCCTCCCTCCCAGCCAGTGCCATCGAGGAAAACATCATCCCTGTTCTCAGTTACATGCTTCACCAAGTAGTCTGCAAATCTCAGGTCAGCAGTTGTGAGGTTCAGGATCTTCCTGAGTTCTGGATCATGGATTTGGACAAGGGCTTCCTCTATCTGATTGAAATAATCCCAAGGAGAAAAACAGTCTAAATAAGACCTTCAGCATACATAACCTGTACTATTTTTTGTCAAATGAGTAATTCATCCCCACCTACAACCACAACCACAACCAAAGGTAAGGAGAAACTGATGACCAAATTATGCTTCAACTGTTCTCAGGATATGAGATGATGGTCTGAAGTAGCCTGAACTTGATGAACTTCCTGGCAAAAGCTGCAGAAGCTCTTTGTCAGGATTTTGGGTACGTTCCTAGAGATTCTTTTCTAAGGCTTTGATTTATTGGCTGGCTGAGTTAATCTGCTACCTGCATATAATTATTTAATGTTGTTGGGTGGTCATCATTATGCAATTGTAAACTTAATTCTTAGGGCATCTACAGCTTTCTGTTTGGGCATTTTTTATTGCCGCTTAAATATAAAGTAAATAAATATGAGGAAGAGCATATTCGTGTTACCATAACTGTGTCTGTTTCTCAGTTATAAACATTTATTTTTAAGATCTTATTAGGCAGCCATGAAAGTTCACTAAGAGAAAAATAAACCATGACTAACAAGGAGTCATATGGACCTTTAAAAAATATTCTATAAAGTGTAAACACTGGATATAATGTATTACACCAGAAACTTGTTCACTTTCAAAAATATTAATAAAGTTAAGGTTTTCCTGCTTCATTACTTATATAAATGCAAGTATACCGAATTCTAGCAGTATAGGTGTGAGACTCTATTGTATTTAAGGGCTTGTCTCCACAGTGAAGTTGTTCCGGAATAAGATAGGATGTGAATTTACAGCACTATAGCTATTCATGTGGACACACAGTTGATTCGGTCAATTTCCTTTAATAGACAAGCCCATAGCATAGGACATAGATAGTTAACTGAACACACATCATGAAAACTTGTTCGGTTGTCCACTTTAAACAAAGTACAGAAAATTTCAGTGAACCTAATTGGAAGCTTAGGAATATTTTTGTATATATTGTCTTTTGACAAAAGCTCTTTGAATAGAAAGTGTGCAGGTAAGTTCTTTGGAGCAGGAACTATTTGTTATGTGTTTGTACAGAGCCTAGGACAGTGGAGTTTTGGTCCATGACTGGAACTCCTAGGTACCGATACAAATAATAATAAAAATAATAATGTATTTAACAACTTCATTAGTAAACAAAGGCTCTTATTTTGACTTAAACACGTTCATAATGCAATCCCTCTTTTTTTTAAGTTTAAAGAGTTTTTAAGAAGAGAATTCATACTTCCACAATTGCATCACTTAGATGCTTCTGCTGACGGAACAGGATGTTGGTGGCTCCCGCAACAAAGCCACGGACTGTTACATCAGAGAGGAGGTGATGCTGTTGCAGTGCCATGTATGGCAAGCAAAGGTAACCCTAAGATAATGGAAATGCTAAATGATTAGTAAGAAAAGGGGAAGGGAAAAACACCCCACCAAACCCCATCTTACTGTACTTACCCATCTCCACAGTCCTTCCTAGAGCTACACAAAAGCAAGAACACCACCCCACAGAGAGAACAAGCCTGATTATTGTTCTGCACCATGTTCCTAGCCACACTGCCACTGGACTCTGATATTGCTTTGCTACATTAAGCAAACATAAGCAAACCAGGTTTCACAGAAATGGAGTATACTTGGTAATGGCTTATAGCGGCTTTCACTCTTAGTTGACTGGTTGAAATCCAGCCCAAACAGCTTCAGATGGTAACAGAGTTGACGAATGTGAAATGAGTTTGGTGGTCTCAATCCAGTTCTCATGTCCTTGGCATGCACAGTAAAGAGGACAAGAACTGAACAGGCAGTCAGACTATCCTTTCTTTCACAGTATAGTCTCTTCTGGCAGGACTCAGGTACACTGCCAGGACAGTTAGACACTCGTGCACTGTTGCTATCCATGTTTTTCAGGGACAGACTTTCAGGCTCCAGGATAACTTTTTGTGAGCATGTGCATGCCTGCTTTAAAAAAAAAAAAAAAAAAAAAAAGCAGCAGGAGAAAAAGACTATGCTCTGTGCTTTTTAACCACTGTGTCCTTATGATACTAATTATACCAGTGCTTTCCAGGAAAATTTGCTATTTAAAAAAAAGTCTAAGTCTTTGATGTAGGTTACACCCACATTCTAGTGATACAGCTGGAAGCATTATAATTTCCTTTTTAAGATAGAATTAATGTACCCCTTGAAACTCTAACCCAATTCCAACTGTTCAGATACACAAAGCATTGTGCAGTTCATTCACTAACACTAACAGAAGGACTACAGGCATATTGGACAAAACAACAAGAATGAATGTACATCATCATGCAGTATGGCAATTTGAAACATATGGAAGGAAAGGAATAAAACTACTACTTTTTTTCTAGATTAAACACAAGGATCGCTATCCAGATGAAAAATACCAACAACTAAAACAGAACCGCCTTTGTCAAAGAATAAGAGTCCTATGTTAGAGAGTCACCAACCTGGAGTATTAGGTTTCTGGAAAAATAATATTAAGGAAGCTGACAATGCAATATTTAATTGTCATGTAATTTTAACAACCAGACAAGTTGTGCCATTTTAGAAATGCTTTGCCATTTAAAATAAAAAGAGGGCCTGATTCCAAACTCACCATGCAACTATGACGGCTTCTGATTTACACTGGTGTAAATGAGATGAGCATCTGACCTTATATAGCTGGCACTAAAATTAGTAACAAAAATCCATAACCTGTTTTTTCCTTGTAGTTCTGTGCTCTTTTATACTAGGAAATACATTACCACGTGGTCAATAAAGCCAGTTCATGACCTTTTGGCCCAATCTCATTCATCCAAGTTTGGTCTGGTGGACTAAACTTTCTTTCCATAGTATGGAACCAACAAAAACAAGAAAACAACCTTGTAAATAATCCTATCAAAAGAGCTTCGCTGATTATAAGGCCAGAAGGACCACTGTGATCAATGTAGTCTGACTACCTGTATAACACAGGCCATAACATTTCCTTGAATTAGAGTATAACTTTTAGAAAAACATCCATTCTTGATTTAAAAATTGCCAGATCTAAAATGGAGTTCAGTTTCATGTTGAATTAAATTGTTTGCTGAGAGTAGACAATCTAGAAGTTACTGAAGGATGCTCATCACTAGAAATTAGTATATCTGAAATTTCCAGTCCTCGGCTTTTGATTTCATTAGCTAAACTTGAATGAGAGAGTGCCTTTGTAGGATGGAAGGTAAACGTTAAAAAACATTGTCCACTAAATTTAAATTGTTTAGTTCTCCACTTTAAAATCCATCTTAAAATGTTCAAGATTCCCTCCCCCTCTCCCCCCCCCCCAGTGATTTTGTCCTTTTACCAAATGAAAAAAACACCGCTTTCCCCCTTTAAACTGGTATTTCTAATTGAACTGAAGTTAACATGACTTTGCATTTGGTTGTATGCAGTGTTGTTGTAGCCATGTCAGCCCCAGGATATTAGAGACAGAAAGTGGGTGAGGTAATATCTTTCATTGGTCCCACTTCTGTTGGTGAGAGAGAGAAGCTTTCGAGCTTACAGAGAGCTCTTCTTCAGGTCTGGGAAATTTACTCAGAGTGTCACAGCTAAACACAAGACGGAACAGATTGTTTAGCATAAGTAGTTAACATACATTTCAAAAGGACCATTCAAGGTGAAGTGGCCTGTTAACACCCCTCCAGTCACAGGGAGGAAAGGAAAGGGAGGAAAGCAGTTGGCAGGGGGTTGTTAGTGGGCTATAGATTGTTGTAATAAGCCATAAATCCAGCGTCTTTTGAAGGTTTGTGCAGATTTCCTTTGAGGATGAGGACTGATAGATCAGATATAGAGAGATCGCTTTGTGAAAAGTGTTCACCCACAGGTGATGTGGTATTTTTGTCTTTTACCATTTTATTCAGTCATCTATCCAGAGGATGAAAATATCATTGATTGTATCACAGGTATGTCATTCGTCTATCATTAAACCAATGATATACCTGAGATACAATCAATAATATTTTCATCCTCTGGACAGACAATGAAAACTCCCTCAGATTTCTACCACAACTTCAACAATCACAACCTGTCCATTAAACTCTCTCTGGAATGCTCCTATACCAGCATCAACTTCCGGGACACCACTATCAGCTTCAACAGTGGAACCCTCACAAATATATACAAGAAACCCACGGGTCACCACATCTACCTCCACAGATCCAGTAAACACCCCACACACCCCAAGAAATCGGTTATCTACAGCCAGGCACTCAGATACCACAGAACATGCTCCAAAGAGAAAGTCTGGGATATACACCTTAACACACTCAAAATCACCTTCACAGAACAATGACATTCCACAGGAGAAGTAGATTGAATCATGGCACAGGCCACACAAATACCCCGAGAGAACATGCTTCAATACAGAAATAAAACCATCTCTCTGACCACACACCCCTAGTTGTCACCTGCCACCCCCGAATGGAACCCATACAGGGTATCAAACAACTACAACCCATACTTAATGGGGTCTCCAGGCTGGAAGAAATCTTTTCTGAACCTTCTCTTCTGGCCTTCAAGCAAACAAGCCTCCAACCTCTCCCATTTCTGATCATCAGAAGCAAACTGCTCACAGACCAGTACACACCGACTCAAAGCAGCACCAGACCCTGCAGAACAACTGATGCAAAATCTACAGACATATCTTCTCTGCTACAATAATCAACACCCCCCCCACAACACACCTTTCAAGATCTTTGGGTCCTACACATGCTTTTCACAACATGTGGTATACCTCATCCAGTGCACTAAATGCCCCAACAACAATAACTATGTGGATGAAACCAGACAATTACTAAGCTCTCGAATGAACTTACACAGGAAAATGATAAAAGACAAAAACACCACATCACCTGTTGGTGAACTCTTTTCACAAAGCAATCACTCTGTATCTGACCTCTCAGTCCTCATCCTCAAAGGTAACCTGCACAACACTTTAAAAGACAAGCCTAGGTGCTTAAATTCATAACTTTGCTAGACACTAAAAATCAAGGACTGAATAGAGACACTGGATTTATGGCTTATTACAACAGTCTATAACCCACTAATAACAGTGATCAATGGCTCCATGTCTAGTTGGCAGCCGGTATCAAGCGGAGTGTCCCAAGGGTCGGTCCTGGGGCCGGTTTTGTTCAATATCTTCACTAATGATCTGGAGGATGGCATCCACCCGTGGCAAGTTTGCAGATGACACTAAACTGGGAGGAATGGTAGATACGCTGGAGGGTAGGGATAGGATACAGAGGGACCTAGACAAATTAGAGGATTGGGTCAAAAGAAATCTGATGAGGTTCAAAAAAGACAAGTGCAGAGTCCTGCACTTTAGGACGGAAGAATCCCATGCACTGCTACAGACTAGGGACCGAATGGCTAGGCAGCAGTTCTGCAGAAAGGACCTAGGGGTTACAGTGGACGAGAAACTGGATATGAGTAGACAGTGTGCCCTTGTTGCCAAGAAAGCTAACGGCATTTTGGGCTGTATAATTAGGAACATTGCCAGCAGATCGAGGGACGTGATCATTCCCCTCTATTCGACATTGGTGAGGCCTCATCTGTGTCCAGTTTTGGGCTCCACACTACAAAAAGGATGTGGAAAAATTGGAAAGAGTCCAGCAGAGGGCAACAAAAATTATTAGGGGGCTGGAGCACATGACTTATGAGGAGAGGCTGAGGGTACTGGGATTGTTTAGTCTGCAGAAGAGAAGAATGAAGGGGGATTTGATAGCTGCTTTCAACTACCTGAAAGGGGGTTCCAAAGAGGATGGATCTAGACTGTTCTCAATGGTAGATGACAGAAAAAGGAGTAATGGTCTCAAGTTGCAGTGGGGAAGGTTTAGGTTGGATATTAGGAAAAACTTTCACTAGGAGGGTGGTGAAGCACTGGAATGGGTTACCTAGGGAGGTGGTGGAATCTCCTTCCTTAGAGGTTTTTAAGGTCAGGCTTGACAAAGCCCTGGCTGGGACGATTTAGTTGGGGATTGGTCCTGCTTTGAGCAGGGGGTTGGACTAGATGACCTCCTGAGGTCCCTTCCAACCCTTATATTCTATGAATCCCTCCACATCTCTTTCCCCCACTCCCTTCCTTTCCTCCCAATGCCTGGAGGGGTGTTAATGGGCCTCTTCACGGTCTCTTGAAATACGTGTTAACTACTTATGCTAAACAATCTGTTTCATCTTGTATTTAGCTGTGACACTCTGGTCTGGTCTACACTACAGACTTACATTGGTATAACTACATCAACCAGGGGTGTGAAAAATCCACCTCCCTGACTGGCATAGTTATACTGACCTAACCCCCAGTGCAGACAGCATTATGTCGGTAGGGGAGCTTCTCCCATCAACATAGCTACCGCCTCTCAGGGAGGTAGATTAACTACGCTGACGGGAGAGCTCTTTGCAGTTGGCACACAGCATCTTCATTAAAGGGCTAAAGCAGTGCAGCTGCGCCGATGCAACCTTTTAAATGTAAACCTGCCCTCTAAGTATGTTTCCCAGACCTGAAGCAGAGCTGTGTGTAAGCTTGACAGCTTGTCTCGCTTGCCATCAGAAGTTGGTCCAATAAAATATTTTCTCACCCACCTTGTCTCTTTGCATTTGGTTGTCATTTCGTACGGCCTCTATATATCTATGTTAGTTGGGCATGATTGCAGCTTCAAGTCACTTGTATTGACATTCCTTAAATTTTAACTCTGGAACATGAAAGACTGAGTTTTCTGTGGCAAATCTTTGGCTGTGTAATTTGCATCTCTGGTCATCCACTAGAGCCAGAGTTTGCTTTGCATAGCACCATGAATGTTGACACTTTTGTTTTGGTCAAGCATCTAATTGTGGAGCACTGATAAAGAGCTTTTTCTTATTATAAGTTATGGCAGTCCAGAGAAGGTGGCATTTCAGCTGTTAGATTTGGGCAATTTAATCTGTTGCTTCTAATATAAGTTACTGATCCAGTGGGATCAGAACACTAAGAACATAATTTAATAAAAACAACTTTTAATTCTATGCCTACCAGTTTAAGATATTATAAACAGTTCCATTAGTCCCTAAAAAGCCATTTACATAAAGCAGGGGTGGGCAAACTACGGCCCGCGGGACAATCCGGCCCGGCCCCCGAGCTCCTGGCCTGGGAGGCTCACCCCTGGCTCCTCCCCCGCAGCCTCAGCTTGCTCACTCAGCCCTGGCGCAATGCTCTGGGTGGCAGGGCTGTGAGCTCCTGGGGCAGCGCCGCGCAGCTGAAGAGTCCAGCCTGACCCGGTGCTCTGTGCTGAGTGGTGGTGGCAGTGTGGCCTAGCTCCAGCCGGGCGGCACGGCTGTAGCGCCGCCAGCGCTGTAAGGGAGTAGAGGGGGTTGGATAGAGGGCAGGGGAGCTCAGGGTGGTGGTCAGGGGGCGGGGGGGTGGATGGTGGTTCAGGGAGGAAACTGGGGGTTGAATCGGGGCAGGCATCCCGGGGGACAGTCAGGAAGGGGGGGGGGTGGATGGGGTGGCAGGGGGCAGGGGGTCCAGGGGCAGTCAGGAATGAGAGGAGGGGTTGGATGGGGGGGGGCGTGGGTCCGGGGGCAGTTAGGGGACATGGAGCGAGTGTGTGTGGATGGGGCAGGGGTCTCAGAGGGGCCGTCAGGGAACAGGGTGGGTTGGATGGGGCAGGAGTCCCTGGGGGGGCAGATAGGAAGTAGGGGTCAAGCCACGAGCCCCTCCTCTAACCAGCCCTCCATACAATTTATGAAACCCGATGCGGCCCTCAGGCCAAAAAGTTTGCCCGCCCCTGATATAAAGTCATTAACATCAGTCCCAACTCCCATCGCAAAAAACATTTTTAAAAGGGATTGGATATTTACCATGATTTCGCATCTACATTCACGATATATTAAAAACAAAAACAAAACAAAACCCTTACATATCTCACATAATTCATCTCAAGGCTCTGTCAACATGCAGAGAATTTCAGAGTATAGCTGCAAAGGACAATGCTGAAATATATGTGTGTGTTCACATTTTTAATTTCCAAGCTTCAGAAATCAGGCAAAAGTGGTCATGGCAGATCAGTGTCCTATTATATGACGAGCCTTTTTAAATAGACAGGCCTAATATCCTGAGATTCAAAACTAAGGTCAGACTCACCTAGCATTCAGACACACTCCTTCCACCCTCCGACCCTTTCCCCTCTATGCACATAACTGTAGTCTCTCCAATTTCAGCTGTGCTACTACTGTTACTCACACATACCTACTAGCAGGGCCTAGAGCAGCAGTTCTCAAACTCTGGGTCAGGACCCCAAAGTGGGTCTCGACCCCATTTTAATGGGGTCACCAGGGCTGGCATAAGACTTGCTGGGGCAGGGGCCGAAGCCCAAGCCCCACTGCCCGGGACTGAAGCCGAAGCCCAACGGTTTCAGCCGTGGGTGGCAGGACTCATGTTACAGGCCCCTTGCCTGGGGCTGAAGCCCTTGGATTTTGGCTTTGGTCCCCCCACCTGCGGTGGAGGGGCTCAGGCTTTGGCATTGGCTTCCCCCCCACCACCACCAGGGGTATCGGGGCTGAGGCTTCGGTCCCCCATCCTGACGTCGTGTAGTAATTTTTGTTGTCAGAAGGAGGTCGCGGTGCAATGAAGTTTGAAAACCCCTGGCTTAGAAAAAAGTGTGAAGACCCCTAGAGGGGTATCGTGAGACAGACAATGCCCATCAACAAAAGAATTAAGCCAGTAAATACACATCATAAACGAGAAAACTCTCCCCTCTACTCTCTCTCTGCTCTAGCAAGCTTAAGGTTACTTGTCACAATAGTTAGATACAATATTTTCAGACGGAAATTTATTTTTGAGTTGACTGCATTCCTTCGACTCCATAACTAAGACTATGCTTACACTGGAGAACTTACAGTGGCACAGCTGTACCAATGCAGCTGCGCCGCTGTAAGATCTCTCGTGTAGCCACTTTAAGCCAACAGGAGAGAGCGCTCTCTTTTCGACATAATTAAACCACCCCCATGAGCAGTGGTAACTATGTCGGCGGGAGAAGCACTCCTGGCAACATAGCAACGTGCACACTACCACTTATGCTGGCGTGACTTATGTTGCCCAGGGGTGTGAAAAAAAAAAAACCATACCCCTGAGCAACATAAGTTTTGCCGACATGAGTGGTAGTTAGACATGGCCTAAGTGGATCTTTGCCCAGACTCTGCTGCCTGATCACTCTGTAAAAGATGAGACACCCCATCAAGAGTTCGGAGACCAGCCTTTTAGGGGCTTTTGCTGCAGCAGGTCACTGTGCTGTGATTCAGCACTGTCAACTGCTAGTTTTGTTTTGTTTCAAGGTTCAAGTGCACAAATATGAGGTGTGTCTCACACACTTTCTTCTCTATAACTTACTTCTAAGGCTACGATTAGGTCACGGAATCCGTGATTTCCATTGACTTCTGTGACATTTTCTGCCCTGGGGCTGGAGCTCCCAGCCAGCCCCGCCTTTGCAGCGCCCAGCCCCCAGTGCTGCCCAGCCATGGCCGGCGGGACCCCCTGCACCTGCCCAGCCGTGGCCAGCAGTGGGGACTCTCCAGAGGTGCCCAACTGCAGCTGCAGCCAGGGCCAGCTGCCTGGGTACCCTGCAGCTACCAGCTGCCCGGGTGAGGGGACCCCGCAGCAGCCCAGTCCCAGGGGCAGGGGGACTTTGGCACTCCCACACACCGCATCAGTGGGGGATCCGGGAGCCCCAGCAGCAGTGGGTGCTGAACCCACCTATCCCTTTTGTCTGGGATATTTTTAGTGAAGGTCAGGGACAGGTCATGGGCTGCCATGAATTTTCGTTTATTTCCCATGACCTGTCCCTGACTTTTACTAAAAATATCTGTGACAAAAACTTAGCCTTACTTATTTCCAATTGCAGTACGAGTAAAATCTGTGCGAGGTGTAAGTGTGTTTAATTTTTAATTTGCTGAGTCATGTTTGCCTCATTAGTCGGCTCATTGCTGCAAGCAAAGCAAGGTATCCCCAGTAGAGGGTAACCTGCAATGCAAATAAGAGGACTACTTTAAAGCCCGAATAAACACATAACCCTCCTACATGAAACAAATGGGCTGAATTATTATTATTATTTTTTTAACGTAGATATTCCTCAAGTAATGCCTCCTTATCAAAGGTAGAAAGAAGAATGAAAAACCCATGATGTCCACTAGGGACCTTATCTTGCAGATTTGTCTAGCAAGTGCTTAGATATTACAGCAAAGAGAACTTCAGGAAAAGCCTAAATGGATGGGATACATAGTAGCACTTCCCACATCTTTGTGTTATCAAAATTTTATAATTACATTAGAAACACTTGTACTTACACAACAATTCTATTAATTAAGAAGTTACTAAATAAAGATTTCTAAGTTCTTCAGAAGTAAAACAGAAACAATACATGGGGGGCCCATCTGGGGCAAGCTGTTCGTGTCTGCAGCTAGTTGATCAAGGAGTGTCTGCAAGTCATTGCCTGTTAACAACATGACTTAGAAAAATAAACTGAACAGTCATAGATCATGGGAAGTAGTGCATATGCATGTGGGGTGGAAAATACATCCAGGAAAGTGGGCTTTTTTTATTATACAAAAATAAAGTCTCTTGTCAGAGTCTGCACTTGAATACTGAGCAATACTTTAAACAGGCTTTAAGTTGGGCACCAAAAATTGCTAGTCACTTTTGAAAATTTAGGCCTGAAAGTGTTGGTAAATATTTACTAAGTACAATTATCAAAATATTTACCTTAGTAAAAATAGCCAATGGCATGCCATACTGGTCCTCCTCCAACCCTGATATCAGTCCTGGAACAAGAACCACATGTCCTGTTTTAGCCTGAGGTTGCACAGTAATTGGAGGGCTTTCTGACGTTGGGGATTCCTTTGAAAGGATTTCAGTCTGTTCTGATGTCATATTTTCATGTTCTCCTTCTTTCAAGTTGGTATCCTCCAAAATACTAGGATCCAAGGTCTCCCAGTCGCTTTCAGAAGACTCTGGAGAAGTGCGTGAAGGAGGTTTCAAATGTTGTCCAGTGCCATTGGAGGACTGTGATCCATTGCAATTCTTTTCAGAATGGGATAAAGGCACATCTGTTTTCTGAGCCTCCCACACATGGTTTCCTGATAGCTTCCTGCCTTCCTCACCCACTCCTGAGTTTGTATTTGAAATGTCAGCAACAGACACAGAAACATAATCATCTAAAGGGGGAGTAACTTCCCGCAAGCCAGTATCCTCTGATACACTCTTTCTTGGTCTGTACTGTGAACTGTCAGTAAGACCATGTTCAATCATACCTGGAGGACAAACATATACACAATATCATCTCACCAAAGATTTTAGTGATTTTTGATAATGGCAAAGTAGGAAATGCTTTTTAGTATATCAAAACAAAAGTGTCATGCATTTTCATTGCCACTTTAAAAATCCAGTCCACTTCTGCCAGAGGCGCCGACTTTCTAATGTGCTGGAGGTTGCTCGACCCCCACTCTGCCCCAGGCCCTGACTCCACTTCACCGCTTCCCCTAAGGCCCCACCCCCTCCCTGCCTCTTCTTGGCCCTGCTCTGCCTCGTTCCATCCCCTCCCCCGCCACTCCAGCGCCTCCTGCACGCCGCGGAACAGCTGATCGTGGTGGGCGGGAGGAGCTGTGAGGAGGGAGAGAAGCTGATTGGGTGGGGGGGCTGCCGGTGGGTGCTCAGCACCCACCATTTTTTCCCATGGGTGCTCCAGCCCAGAGCACCCATGGAGTCAGCGCCTATGACTATGACACAAATGGATCAGCACTGACATTCTGCCTTGGCAAGTGTTATTTAAAGTTTGATAAACATTTGGCAGGAACACAGAACCAATGACTTCTTATTCACTGACATATCAAAGGTGCCCAATATGCAGCCCGCAGAGATAAAATAGACTTAGTTTCTTATTACTAAGGTAAGGAGCACTCAATAAATATCAAGTGTTATCAGGTTGTGCGCATATGTGCTTCATACAAATATTACGTAGCTGTGTGTGTGAATTCATTGTGGCTATTATACTCTGGCAATATACCAAATCAGCCCCTGTGTCACATAAGTCCCCCACGCCCAAATATATCACTGTCAATTTCAGTTATGAACAGAAATTACACAAGAAAGAAATAGCCGAAACCTGCTTTTCCTTACCAGGAAAAAGAGACAAGACAGTCATCAGTGCTCCCACCAGTCTATTTACTGGAGAAATATAAAACAACACCTGTGGGGAGGGGGATGAAGGAAAAATTAAAATGACAGCTTAAGTCAGAGAGAAAAGCAAACAGAAACAAACAAACAAGAGAATCTGAGGACATCTAATGCCTATATCTATCTATCTAAAAAAAATGTTTAAAATCAGTTCATGGAGAATTTCACTTCGATAAAAGTCCCCATAACATTTTTATTCAGATAAATATTTAAAGAGAAGACATAACAAGGCATTTACTATACTTGGATGATTCAATCTTATACTGGTTGGTTAGATCAGTTTCAGGGGCGGTAAGAATGACTAGCTACAATCTTAATGATTGCAGAAGGTCATTTTTGCAATTCAATCAATTTGGTCCTTGCTGGTGCTCACTGTTGAAGAACGGGTGCGATGCCACATTGCCTTTAGCTGACTGGAGAATTGCCCTAGTCAGGCAGTCAGAACAGTTTTAAAAACCCATCCATGTGAAGAAATACCTCTTCTTCCCACACGTGGCCAAAATTTTGTTTGTGGCATGGTAATTATATATTTAAGGTTAGTGCTTTCCATAATTCTAGTGTTTTTTCCTTTAGTTTGTCTGGGTGCACATTGACTCCCTTGCCCCCTGTAACACACCAGCAAATAGCGTGATCCTGGCAATAAATATCCAAATGGCCACCATCTGGAGATGGTGTCTCAACCCAGCAGTAGTTGTGAGTTTGAGACATGCTTCCTCCTACCTGTGGGACAGGCATCAACCCATGGATTAATGGGAGTTGAGCCACAGAACAAAAGGCATCTTTCTGATCCAGAATGGGTGGCATTATTGGGCATACTGGCTTAGCATGTTTAAGGTCTTTGACTGTACAGGTTTCCCCACAACTATTCTGGAACCTTAGCAGCTGTTCGGAAGCAGCCAGTACAGGAAAACAGTGTGTTCTCTCTCTCTCTCTTTTAGCAGATGCCATGGTTCACTTTCTGCTTGTAAGTTCAGAAAGAATTCTCACGTTTATTCAATAGATGTCCAGCTATTTCAAACTAGACTCATGTGTTTGAGTCATTTGAGCATGCCTCCACTCTTCCTGTGAATTTGTGTCTTGTGGTTTGTACAACTTCAGAACGGAATTATAGCTCAGTACTAGATAACTAGAATGTTTAGCTGTAATTATGAAATGCTACCATAATCAGTTTTTAAATCAAATAGGCAAGGTGGTTTCTAAAACATTTCTTGTATCAATATAAACTGAAGCAATTATTTTTAATTCTAAAGTTTAAAATATTTGTAGCAGACTTTTGAAATATTTGGGAAACTGTTCAACACACCAGTGTAGATGTGGAAAGTGAAATAAACCCCACCCCATCCTTACACTGAAATTTCTGAAACTAAATGTTTTATATAACACAATAAATCTAGGAGTTTATATATGCAATTTTAAACTGACAGGCTTTTTGGTGTACTCTGAGGCTGTTACTAAGATTACCATGTGGCACTGCTACTGACTTTTTTGGAATTAAACTCAACACTTCAGCTTTGGTAAATGAAAAAGTACACAATGAGACACTTGGATCTCGATCATGCAATCAGGCCTGGTAGGGCAGATGCCTTTGCCTTTACAGAGCCCAGAGGAAAGCAGTGGGGCTTCACTTGGGCAAAGGAATCTATGCTACTGAATCCAATTGCAGGGTTTGGGCCTGAATTGCTTAAAACACCCAAACATCACATATAGCCACTAATTCTCATGTTCTTAAACAGTTACTTATTTTAAAACTAGAAATATCTATTTAAAAAACTACACTGAAAGAATGTTAAAGTAGCAAGGCTAAGCAATGAAAAAAAATAGTACAAAATGCTCCAGTTAAGGTTGCACATCAAATCTTAGTTTTACCCATTTCTATGAAGGCATTTCCAGTCTAATTACGCTATCGTGTTTTCCAAAATACTTTTTCTACAACCTTAAATTACTTAAAATATATCTAGTTAAAACAGTGGCAAAGCCCGAAAACAGACACTTAAACCAGTTTTATCCATTAAGTTACCAACTGAAGCAAAAATCTATATAAGCAAGGGTTAAACTGGTTTAAGTGTATCTACATTAGAGATTTGAGCTGATTTGACCAGATCAATTTTGTTAATTATTTAGACAAAATAGCACACTCTTCTAATACAGAAAAGGCTTGAGGATGTAGAAAAATGTATTATATTTGAGTAATTATAAGCTATCACAATGCATATAGGGCAGAGTTAAGGTTGTGCATGCAATCAATGCATTTCTTGACTTCTGATTTCTTTTGTGCAACCTTGATAAAAACTGCTCATGTCTGATTTGTTGATATTACTTCCTGCCCTTCAATGAATGATTTTTTTTATAGTTGTCCTATAAAGGCAACTTCAAGTCATTTCTGTCAAGGAGATGAACTTATAGTTTAGCTTGTTCACTGGGGGAGCAAAGTAAGATTTTGACTTTTAACATGAAAATAAACATTGTAGGAAAAAAAGATCCCTGTGGTCATGTATTTGTGAGCTGATATTCAGTCACTTTACTGAAAGATCTCGACCCAACATTTGAATTTACAAATTGGTACTCTTTTGTTTCTATTTCTTATCTGTTTGTACATGTTCCAGAGTCCTCTTAAATGGCCAAGACAGCACTTCTTTTAGGCAGTAAGACAGCCTGAAGAAAAATATAATTAAGACTTACACTTCTCTGTGGATTTAAACTAGGTCGACTTACTTATTTTAATATTTATTTTTATTTTTATTTACTGTGATTCAAAGTTAACATGACTAGAGAGACATGACCTTGGATACTAAATATATATTTCAGATAAGTATCCATACAATTCACAAAAATCTAAAACTTGAAAAAATCTAAAGCTTGCTTCCTTTGGTATTTATATTACTATCTATTTTATGTTTAAATGAAGTTCTTTTTTGCTGGACCTTATGTACTAAGAATTTTCACTCTACAATGGTGAGTGCACTATTTAGGTCCTGATATTTCCCATCCATTCCCTTATGCAGTTGACCATTTCTCATTATCATTTATACCAATTCTCACAGTGGCTTTTCGTGATATGTACCTCCATCCCTTAAAAACTGTTATGAAAATTTCCCTGCCCAAGTTTACCAAATTTTACTTGCCTTTGCTCTAGAGTAACTATTAATTTTTTCCATTATTGACAGTTTGTGAGCAGAATTTATACACCAACACACACACACAGCAGTTAATCAAGGGGATAAAGTTTTCCAGTTTTATTTATACCTGCATGTAAATATACTTGAGCATTGAGTTTTACTTCAGACATATTTAGCGTAGCATTTATCTTTCACTAACATACACTCTATAGAGTCATATAAACAATTACATCTCCATTTCAATCCTCTCCTTCATCCCATAGACCCTACCTTTTTCTCTAGAAGAATCAATTTAAAAAGAATTAAGATCTGCAAAATAAGAAGGGAAAATTAACATGGTGGGTGACTAACAAACAGGAAAACCCCCCACACATTTACATGTGTGTACATGTGTGTAATATAAGTAAATTCATCTTTCATTAAAAATGTTTCCCTTAGCTATTTCATTGGCCGGGAACGTCAAACCGCGGCCGCTGGGAGCTGCAGGGAGCCGTGCCTGCAGGTGGTCAACGTCAGCAAAATGTCTCGCAACCCGCAATCAGATTACCCTGATGGGCCACATGCGGCCTGCAGGTTGCCCACCACTGCTCTAAGCATTCCTAATCCCCACAATTTATACAATAGCCTAGTGATTAGGGCACTTACCCAGGAGGTGGAAGGCCTGATCTTAAATCCCCACTCTGCCTGAGAGGAACAGGGACATAAACCCAGGTCTTCACTTCCTGAGGGAGTGCTCTAACCACTGCACTATGGTGTATTCTGAGGCAAGTTTCTCTCAATCTCTACTACTGAAGTTTTTCCACTTTGCATAAAACAACAAAATATTCATTCAGCCATAGAGAGGATGAGAATGACTCTATAGTCCAGCAGTTGGGGCACCTACCCAAGATGTGGGAGAGTCAGGTTCAAGACCCTGCTCCTATCAGGCAGAGTGAGGATTTGAACCTGAGTCTTCCACATCCTACGTAAGTCCTCTAACCACTGGGATAACAGGTTTAAGTGGGGTAGCACCATCTCCTACTCCTTGGTGTATGTGGGTTGTGGTTTTTTTTGTGGGGTGTTTTTTTGTGATATATGCATAAAGGAAGTGAAGAGTACTTGAAACCTGCCTACTGGAGATACTTCTAGTAGGGGAGGGAGAAGGAGGAAAGAGGGAATTCCTAACAAGGGTAGAGCCAACAGAGCAGGTTGCTACATTTCCCTCCCCACAACTCCTGGCAAGGAAATATGGGTAGTGTGTGGTGGCAGGAAGGGTGAGTGGCTGGAACATATCTCCAGATGGTATATGGTCCCTCAAACAACAACCCCCAGGTTGCACCAACCTGCATCTGAGGCCAGAAAGTCCCAGGAGGCTGTATCCAGCTCCTTAGCAGCACCCCCTAGGTACAGCAGAGAGTCTGGACCTTAAAATATGAAGAAGTGTATGTGTGCACTTGCTCAGCTGCCAGTTGCTCATCATGCAACCTACATTTTTACCATGTAAAAAAAGCATGCTGCTGCTGTACTTTATTAGCCACATAAAGAAAGCGTACCTTGTGTCTAAACTGAAGGACAAGATCTCGGGGAGACAGACCTAAAACGTTGAGAACAAATTCATTAGTGAAGCTTTGCAAGGGGTATCAACTCCTTTCTTCCTGTCCCCTATTTTTCTATTGGGCAAATTACATAAGCTAAAGTGACACACGATGATTTCCCATTCTCACGGAAAACATGCTGGTGATTTCATTAAAATAATTCAAACCATTTTCTCTTCCTTCTAAGAATGAGAGTTGAAAGTAAGATGGAGACTCTGCATTCCAGAAGATGGCTATTTACTTTCATACTGAAGCCAGCTGGCTAAAGCATTTCCCTATGGGAGCATTTGATTAAACAACAACTTTTAGTTCTCTTTCTAGATCACAATTCTTCCTATGGTATGTGGAGCAAAGGATGTAGGGGGAGATAAAGGGCAGTTAGGTGCTCAACTCCCTTTGCAAGTCAAAAGGAACTGGGTTCCTAACTGCCATTTATGCCACTGAAAATTTCCCCCACAATTAAAATTTTCAAAAAAGCATAGTTTTCAGAAGGAGCTGAACAGCTCACTCACTAAATCAGTGTTTCCCAAACTTGGGACGCCGCTTG